ATATAGATATATTTGAATATAATATCAAAGATAATTGCAATTATATTCCGAGCGTGTGTGTGTGTGTGTGTGTGTGTGTGTTTGTTGGCTAAAAAACTAGCTTTAACTTTAAATAATCACAATTAAATATTGCTAAGGTAATGCAACAGCAACAGGCGGCAATGCACGTGTCCTGCCCCACAGAAGCACAATAATAAAACTATTGTAAAAATCGATATATGCATATACATATAGATACATATATATACACACATATATATATATATATCGGGTTAAAATTAAATCAACAACTTAAAAAAAAAAAGCAGCAAGGTAAATAAAAAAAAAAAAAAAAAATTTAAGAATTGTTGAAAACGAAAAAAAATAATAAGAATAATATTAATATGAATATATATATATACGAAATTTGTTGACATTACATAAATATGTACAAATAGATAAACAGATACAAATATTAAGACATACATATATCGATCTAAGTATATATGTATGCATGCATAAAATTATTAAATAATTATAGACTGACAGCTAAGTAGTGTTGTGTAGTGTAGTGTAAGTGTGGGTGTGGGTGTGGGTGTGGGTAGGGTAGTTAGACGCTGGTTGCAACTGGCCAAGCAGAGAGTTCAACACACAATTGAAGCGTCGCTGCCAGCGGCACCCTCAGACGACACGGCAGCACTTCCGACCGACCAGCGGACTCCAGCGACTCTCCACACGGGCGAGAGCTGCTAAGAGCAGCGCGCAGGCACTGGAATGGCGCCAGTTGGCTACTAAATAGCTGAGCTAGCTGGCACTAGCGGCGCGACGTTATTGTTGCTGCTGCTGCTGTTGCTGCTGTGCTGCTGTCGCTGCCACGAAACGTTCTGAAGATGCGCAACAAGAGCGAACGATCCTCGCCCTGCTCGTCCACCTGACGATCGACACGCCAACCAATGCTGGGCAACCACCAGAAGGGCGTGTAATTCTCATCGTTTGGTGTTGTTGCTGCTGTAGCTGCTGTAGTTGCTACTGCTGCTGCTGGTGTTCTTGCTGTTGCTGCTGCTGTTGGCTCTGGACTCGCGCCTAAGCTATCTACTCTAATTATTTTACTATTTCTATTGCTACGATTTGTATTAATACTTAATTGCTGTTGTGTGCTTCTTGTGGTGTCAGCAATTGTTGCTGTTGCTGCTGTTGTTGTTGCTGTTGTTGAACTATCAGCAGCAGCAGCAGCATTACCTGACATTATTGTTGTTGCAATTGCCTCTGCTGTTTGTTCGGTTGCTGTTGTTGCTGTTGCTGCTGCTGTTGTTGCTGTTGCTGCTGCTGTTGTTGCTGCTGTTGCTTCTGTCGACGTCTGGCTTAGCATTGGCATGAGGCTAGACCAAAAATTTGTTGCCTCTGCCGCTGGAGTGCTAGACGCATCAGAGCCACTCTCAATGATCGTTGCTGCTGTTGTCGTCGTCGTTGTCGTTGTCGTTGTCGCTGTCGTTGACGGCTGCTGCTCGTGTTGCTGTTGTCGCAGCTGCGATAATCGCCGCTTGTCCTTAACCAGTTCGTTTATAATGCGCAATTCTTGTTCAAAATTAATTTCACTTGCCGCCCGCTCGCTGTCGCCCTGGCCGCCGATTGTGTTTGTCATTAAATTGTCACTGGATGCCATATCGTTCAGCACATCCAAGTCGTTGTCAGCATTGTTGCTGCTGCTGCTGCTGCTGCTAGTGTCGCTGTCGCTGCTGTCGCTGTTGCTGCTGCTGCTGCTGCTGCTGCCAATGGCAGCAACATTTCTGTTCAAATGCTGATAATAAAACCGGTCATCATCTCGAGCATTGCCATTGGCATCTTGATGTATGGCAGCAACTTTGGTTTCAGTAGCAGCAGCAACTGTTGCAGCTGTTGCTGTTGTTGTTGTCACTGCTGCTGCTGCCGATGATGATGATTCTGCTGCTGTTGTTGTTGTTGTTGTTGCTGTTGGTGTTGTTGATGTCAATGATATTGTTGTAGCTGTTGCTGTAGCTGTTGCTGTAGCTGGAGTTATTGTTGCTGTTGTTGCTGTTGCTGCTGTTGTTGTGGTTGAGCTTAACTGAACCGGTTGCACTTTCGATTTTTTCAACACAGGCACATCTAGCTCTTGTTCTTGTGCTCGTGTTGGTGTTGTGGGCGTAGCCGACGATGTGGTTGCTGATGTAGTTGCTGTTGTTGTTGCGGTTGCTGTTGCTGTTGTTGTTGCTGCTGTTGCATCGACATCGCGCTCTCCTGTGGTTGGCACAATATCCGTCGCTGAATCGTCAGCATCCAGATCGGCGCTGAGCGGCGAGACGCGACGATGACTGAACTGCGGCATGGTATCGACGCTGCTGCCGTAGGCCGGCAGAAAGGCGTCGACCTTGAGCAGCTGCTCCAGGTCCGTTTCGATCTCTGCCTCGGCCTCGGCCTCAGCCACCGTCTCGGCGGCGCTCGCTGACTCTGACTCTGAGTCCGACTCCGCTTCGTGCTCTGAATCCGATTGCACCCCCGCATCGGGCTTCGCATCCGGCTTCGCCTTGGGCTCAGTGCGCATCGAACTTGTCACCAGCTGCACCGTTGGCTCTGTGTCCACTGACGCGCCCGCTGGCACAACAATGGCATCGATATGGCCAATGTCGCCGAAGGAGCCAATGTTGCTGCTGCTGCTGCTGCTGCTGCTGCTGGATATGCTGAGGCTTGTCGTGCTTGGCAGAGCGCTGCTCGCATCAGCCTGCAGATCTTGGTCGCTATCGGCAATGCGATTATTCGGCCTCTGCTGCGCCTTGAGGGCGTCTTCGCGCATCGTTGCTATTGTGGGTGTGGGCGTGGTAGTTGCCGTTGCTGTTGCTGTTGCCGTTGCCGTTGCCGTTGCCGTTGCAATCGATGGCAATGTTGCTGTCGTTGTATTGACAACATCAGACTCCGATGCCGTGGGAAACTTCTTTTCGAATATATTGAATTTGAGTGGTGCATCCTCGCTGGGCAGCGCCTGGTCCTCGGCACCACTGGCACCACTTGTGGGCAGCGTGGGCAGCGGATCGGACAGAATGAGCGGCCCCAGTGGCATCTCGTAGATGAGCTCATCGCTCTCGTTGTCGCTGTAGTCGTAGTCGGTGAATGCCGTGGGGCCACCGCCGGCACCACCAGCACCACCGCCGCCACCACCGTAGCCCAGCTGTTCCTGCAGCTCCTGCGCAACGAGATCGGTGGGGTCGATGTTCGTCTGCGAGATGCAGCGCTCGTTGTACAGCTTGTGTCCCGGCGGACAGTGGCGGAAGGGCAGCGCGAATATGGACTTGGGCATCACCTTCTTCTGCTTCTCGAGCGATTTCTGTTCGTAGGGCAGGCGCAGCCACGCCTCCCACGCGTCCTTCTGGGCATTGCCCTCGATGGGCCGCGAGGTAATCGGCAGCGCCTCAACCCCGCCCGCCCTCAGGCTGTGCATGTGCAGCACGGCCAGCGCCAGCAGGCCGTGCACCAGCAACAGCATCCAGCGATTGCTCGCCTGCCGCTTGCCTCTCGACGACGATGCCATGGCGGCAATCCTCCAGCTCCACTGCTGCAGCGTTGCCAATCCCACGATCCTAGTGCCGCTTATCTCTGCAATCGAAAGCGAAACGGAAACGCAGAGAAAGAGAATGGATTAGTATGACTGGCCAAAACTGCTGGCAATTTCCCACAGGTAAAGCTCCCCTAGCCCTAACCCTCTCCCTAACCCCAATCCCGATTCCCCTCACCCACCCCCCTCACCCACACAGCTGCTAATGCTCTTTCTGTGCCACCACCAACAGCAGCTGTTCTGCTCTGTGTGCTTTTTGCCCTGCCGCATCTTTTGTGGCATGTGGAACAATACCGGTTCTCAATTGTGTGCGAGTGTGTGAGTGTACGTGTGTACGTGTGCCTGGGCCGCACACGGAGCGTGCCACAATGGCAACAATTCATAAAAAACTTTCTGAGCATTTTGAAACCCACAAAAAAAAAAAAAGAAAATTGAGAACGATAAATTGAAAGCAAAATTATTTTTGTAAATTTTTAATAAATGTATATATGTATAATAAATTTTACATACAAACATATTTGGCACGGACTCAAATAAAGTAACAAAAATATAGATATTAATTGCTTAAAAAATAAATTATAGTGCGATGGCAATTGAAGACTAATTCGAGAGTAATTTTAGTTTAGAGCAGAGCGAAACTCTCTCTATCGAAGCTGATTAAAATAATTGCGGAAACCATTTAATATGGAATCATATATTCATTGTGAAATATCCATAATAACGAATATTACAATATATCTGAAAATAGCTTTGTGTGAAGCCCCACAGAATTTATTATTAAAGCGAAGTGACGCTTCTAAGTAGTTTTATATATATAA